TAGCAGATATTTAATACTTTCTGAACTAAGTCGTTGTCAAAGATTGAAAGAGAAGGCAAGAAAAGCATAATAGAGAGATGGTGTACCAAAGAATGCCTGAGAGAAAGAAAAAGAAACGCAGAGAATAATTCTATGTATTTTTATTATATTGTAAGCTTGTAGAATGATCAAATGATACAAAAAGTGTAAGTGTAAAAAAGGAAAAATAATCCTGTAATGGAGACCTAATCACATGAATTAAGGAGATTGATTTCCTTTGAAATCTCCTATTTTAAATTTATACAATGATCAATTCATTGAAATATGAAAGTTATAATATAAGATGTTAGATATCTATATTTTAAAATTTATTTCCTTTTAAGTCTCCTAAACTCAACATTTTGTCTTCTTAATTACTAACATATAGATTTTTCATATTTCTATACTTCTTCCATCAATCAACAACTATTAAATACAAAGTTATGTGTAAGAACTAAAGGATAAAACCCACACAGAACACAAATCACACAGATCACAAAGACACTCAAGAACCAACACACAACACAGATTTTTACTGTGGTTCACTTATCCAAATTGGATAAGCTACATCCACGTTGAGCTTCGGAAATGGGAGAGCCCACTGCACTACTTATTAGAAAAGATCCAACCAAGAACAATTACAATCGCCTATCAACCTCTCTCTATTACAAGAAACCCTCACAGTAACTACTGCTAGAGACACTCACCAGAAATCCCTAAGAACAAGAGCAAATTAGCCTTCCTGATTGATTACCAGATCACCCAATCAACCCACGTTACAAGAGTTTCTACAACTAAACTGAATAGCTCAAATATAGAGAGAATATTATGAAAAAGTAAAGTTGAAGCAGAAGAAAAAACAATAACTCGATATCCACTATTGACTGAGCATCCCTTTTCTTTTATATGCTGACTCAATGGAGATTCGTAGCCATCAGATCAGGAAGAGATCAACGATCAGGATTCATTTAAGCCAAATGCCAAACGCTGCGTTTCATTAAACTCCATAGTAGCCTAATTTCAATCTTCACTTCAACAATCTCCACCTTGAAGACTTGAAACCCAGGTAGTGCAGCTCACTCTAAACCATATCCCTTATAGCTCCAAGTCACTTGTGATTACTCCACTGACAGCAGCTTCAAGCAGTGCTTGAACTTTTCTGGTGTAATGACTTTTGTCCCCATATTTGTTGGATTTTCTTCAATGGCCACTTTCTTCAATTCAACTACTCCTTGGGCAACCAGGTCTCTCATAAAATGAAATCAAACATCTACATGTTTGGTTCTTTAGTGATAGAAAGGGTTTTTACTGAGATGAATTGCACTCTGGCTGTCAGAGTAGATTGTGACCTTCCCATCAGATAGATTTGCTTCTGACAACATTCCCTGCAACCACACAGCCTTTTTAAACACCTCTGCTATGGCTATGTACTTTACCTCAGTTGATGACAGTGCTACAATGGGCTACAACTGAGATTTCCAACTTATGCAGTTTCTACCAAGTGTAAAATAGTAGGCTGTAGTGGATTTTTTGGTGTCCTTATCACTTGCAAAATCAGAATCTACTAACCCAACAAGATCAAGCATAGCAGTTCTTTTGCAATACTTTAAACCAACACTTAATGAACTGTTAAGGTATCTACGAACCCATTTCAGGGTAGTTTAATGTTCACTGCCAGGGTTGAACATAAATCTGCTAAGCATTGATATAGCAAAAGACAGATCAGGTTTAGTGCTTATCATTGAATACATTATAGAGCCTATTACACTTGCGTATGGGACATCATCCATCTTTATCATCTTAGCTTCAATTTTAGGACACTGATTTTTACTTAGTATAATATGGTTTGCTAAGGGCATAAAGACAAGTTTAGAGTCAGTCATTCCAAACCTATTTATCAAATTTTCCAGGTATGATTTCTGTTCAAGTTTTAAGCAGTTATTCCTCCTATCTCTAGATATAACCATACCTAACATTTTCTTGGCATTACCCAAGTCTTTCATATCAAATTCTGAACTTAGTTTCTTCTTCAAGTCTTGTATTTTGACTTAGATCTACTTATTAGCAACATATCATCAACATACAACAGTAGATATAAAGGCAAATCCTCATCTAAATCAAAATAGAAGCAACTATCATATCTACTTCTTTTGAAACCTAAGCCCACTATGAAAGTATCAAATCTTTTGTACCATTTCCGAGGGGCCTGTTTGAGGCCATGTAGAGACTTGTGTAATAGGCATACATGATTTGGCATCCTATAATCAACAAAACCTGCAGGCTGACACATATAGATATGCTCATCTAAGCTGCCATGTAAGAAAGTAGTGGTGACATCAAGCTGTTCCAATTCTAAGTTTTGATGAGCATCAATGGAGAGCATAAGTCAGCTGGTTTTGTATTTCACTACTGGGGAAAAGACTTCACTGAAGTTTATTCCCTCTATTTGTGTATAGCCTTTGGCAAGAAGACTGGCTTTATACCTAGAGGGATCAGAAACTAATATACCATCTTTTAATTTGTACAACATTTACATTGAATAAGTTTCTGGTCTTTGGGTTTAGGCACCAAAGACCAGGTTTCGTTTAACTCTAATGAGTGCATCTCCTCTCTCAATGTTGCTTTACATTTGTCTTTATTTTTAGACATCATGGCCTCTTCGTATGTTTCAGGTTCTGTTCTTTGGACTTCTATACCTACAAGCAAGGCAGTAAAGATTAGGTCAGCATAGGAATTCTGGTAGGTGGCCTTACCTCTCTTCTGGTTTTGTCCCTTGCAAGTTGGTACTATTGTAGATCAATTGGTCGATGTTCAAGAATTTCTTCAGCAGTTTCTTCTTCTAGTTGTCCATGTTCTAACTGTTCTGTTTCAACTTCAGTTTGAGGGTCTGTCTCTAGTCGGATAAGGTTAGACTGTTGTGTTAGAGGCTCCACCTCAATTGGTGTACTTCCTGCAGGGCTGGGGTAAGATTCAGTATTCCTAACAGTTTCTTGATCAATGATAGAAACTTTACAAGGGAATTTACTCTCATTGAACACTACATCTGGGCTTACTATGATTTTTACCCCAGGAGTTTCCCTATCCCATAATTTGTATTGTGCCTTCTTGGCAACCTAAGAATATGCATTTGGTGGACCTAGGGTCAAATTCCCTCCCCATCCCCCCCAAACCACCCCCCCCCCCAAATCCCCACAGTTGTGCATAAGCAGCACACCCAAATATTCTTAGATGGCTTAAATCTGGTTTCCTCCCATTCCATATCTCTTTAGGGCATTTCCCATTGATAGCAGTGGATGGGCTTCTGTTTACAAGGTAGACAGTAGTAGCTAGTGCTTCCCCCCAAAATGAGTTTGGTAGCCCTGAGGTAAATAAGAGGCACCTAAACTTTTATAATAAGGTTTTATTTATCCTTTCTGCCACCTCATTCTGTTGAGGGGTCCTAGCAACAATTCTATGCCTTAAAATGCCATGCTCTTTACAAAAACTGTCAAACTTAGTGTTGCAAAAATCTAGCCCATTATTAGTTCTTAAGGCCTTTACACTCTTACCAATTTGGTTTTCTACTAGTAATTTCCAGTCCCTAAACCTGGTCAAAGCTTGGTCTTTCATTTTCAAGGGAAAGGTCCAAACTTTTCTACTGTAATCATCAACTATCGATAAGAAGTAACTGTTTCCACCATGAGATTTAATTCTTCAGGTCCCCAAAGGTCAGAGTGTAGGTATTCTAGGCAGTTTGTGGCTAAGTGACTCCCCTTTGAGAAACTCAATTTGTGTTGCTTTCCTAACACACAGTTTCTACAGAATTCCAGGTTAGAGATAGTGTCCCTACCAAACATCCCCTGACTACTAAGGATATTCATACCCTTTTGACTCATATGGCCCAACCTAAGATGCCATTTTTTAGTGGCACACAGTTTACTAGGAAGCAAAGTAGCATTAAAGCATTCAGAGTCAAAAGCACCACACAATATATAAAGACCATTCCTCGTTTCCCCTTTAAGAACTAGGTTCTGATTTTTATACACATACAAGCATCCATTATTAGCCTTATAAGAACATTCAGCCTCATCTAGGGTCCCTAAAGAGATGAGATTTCTTTTTAAATCAGGGATGTACCTCACCTTGGTTAGTTTTATAGATTTTCTATCAGTTAGTCTAAGGGTTACACTGCCTATACCCTTAACACTACAAGGCTGATTGTTTCCCATATAGACGATCTCATTTTCATGTAATTCTAGGTCCTGAAACCAGTTCTTGTTTAGGCTCATATGGAAGGAGCAGCCTGAGTCTAGGACCCATTCCTTAGCAGTGTCAGATGTTGACACTGTCAAGACCTCAGGCTCATCCAATTGGTTCTTATTAGATGCCAAGTTGCTCTCAGTGTTTCCCTGTTTTTGTTTCTTTAACCAATCAAAACAGTTCTTTTTTATATGTCCAGGTTTATTGCAGAAGAAGCACTTTCTTGTTTCTGATCTTGTTTTATTATTACCCTTCCCCTTTTTCTTGTTCTTAGACCCATGCTGATAATGGTTATTCTTTCCTGCTTGGCTAGATTTTGGCCTACCTTTTACAAACAGATTGCTACCTGACCTTTTCTGGACTTTTAGCTCTAGTTCCCTAGCTTTGAGTCCTGCAACTATTAGGACTAGACTAGGCACAGTTCCTGAATATTGTAAGTCATTCTTAACTACTTGGTATTCCTCAGTCAAAGAATTCAGTAGGATCATTGCTAGACTAGTGTCCCCTAAATTTTGGTCAGTTCCTTTAAGGATTAGAGTCTTCTTTAAAAATTCATCTAGATTGTCCTTTATCGATTTAGCACTATCCATTTTGTAAGAAAATAGGGCACCCTTTAAAAACGCAAGATTGGGTGTAGATTGTAAAGAGTATAAGGTTTCGAGTTTACCCCATATGGCTAAAGGAATTTCTAGCCCATCTAACTTCCACAGGACATTGTCTGACAGGTTCATCACTATGAGGTTTTATGCTTCCTCGTTGATCTCTTCCTGCTTCCTCAATTTCTCCTCTGGCCACTTGGATGCGTCCTTCTCCAAAGCAATCCCCACTTTGTTATGGGAAAGTAGAGCCATCATCTTTTTCTTCCAACTGTCGAAGTCAATCTTCCCGCTGTATTGAGTGATTTCAATTCATGTCGTTGACATATTGTAGGTGTTTGTGTTTAGATTTAAGAAGCCCCAAATTGAAACCCTAAATAGAGGCAGTTATCGAATTCCCCAAAAATTGACAAGCGAAGAACTCTAATTCTTCCAAGAACCTTTCAAATTGATGATCTAAAACTTGAATCTATACTCCTAGGACTCTAGATTACTAAGGAATGACTTAATTTGAAAAACCCTCAAATTTCGACAAACCCTGGAAATTTCCAAGAACCCTAGATTGTTCCAAGATTCAATCGATCAATCCTAATGCCTATTGGCTTTGATACCACTATAAGAACTAAAAGATAAAACCCACACAGAACACAAATCACACAGATCACAAGACACTCAAGAGCCAACACACAACACAGATTTTTACTGTGGTTCACTTATCCAAATTGGATAAGCTACGTCCACGTTGAGCTCTGGAAATGGGAGAGCTCGCTGCACTACTTATTAGAAAAGATCTAACCAAGAACAATTACAATCGCCTATCAACCTCTCTCTGTTACAAGAAACCCTCACAGTAACTACTCCTAGAGACACTCACTAGGAATCCCCAAGAACAAGAGCAAATCAGCCCTTCTGATTGATTACCAGATCACCCAATCAACCCACGTTACAAGAGTTTCTACAACCAAACTGAACAGCTCAAATACAGAGAGAATATTGCGAAAGAGTAAAGTTTAAGTAGAAGAAAAAACAGCAGTTCGATATTCCACTATTGACTGAGCATCCCTTTTCTTTTATATGTTGACTCAGTGGAGATTCTCAGCCATCAAATTAGGAAGAGATCAACGATCAGGATTCATTTAAGCCAAATGCCAAACGCTGTGTTTCATTAAACTCCACAGTAGCCTAATTTCAGTCTTCACTTCAACATTATGTATTCCCAAAAAAACTACAATCAATCCAAGAAACTCCACCGTAAGTGAGATGACATGTTAAATCAGAAGTTTTGCCTTTTTTTTTTTTTTTTTCCCTTAAAAGAAATTGGATTAGTTTGTAACTTCAAGTTGAAGAAAATCAAATGTAATTGGAATAGATCATTGTAAGGAAAAATAAAGACAAGGTTATGGAAAATCATATTCCAATTTAACCGAAAAATTTTAATACGATGAAAAAGTGAAAAGTGATTATTTTTTTATTTTCTTAAATAAAAATGAACTATAAAGTTTTTAATGTTATAAAGAAAATAAGTAAAAGAAAAATATAAAATAAAGTAAGAGTATAGTTAAAATGCATAGTGTTTTTATAGTAAATATATTTAAGGTTAAACTTTTTAAATTAAAATAAAATAAAAAATAGGGGCTACTAATCTAAGTGATGGGGGCAAAAAATCACCACCCAAACTTAAAAGGCTTTATAGAATTAGGCCTAGCAGCCCAAAATTTTAAACATACTAGGGCCCGTGCTCATTAAAACATTTAATTTTATTTCTTTTTATAAGATAGGGGGCGGGTCATATTATTATTATTATTATTATTTTATTTTTATTTTTTTGTAACCAAGAGGTCCGGAAGAAAATACATAATCAATACACTCGTATTATTGATCCTAATTCCTTAATTAAATGATAATTTTATATTTAAAGTCACTATTGAGAATATTTATTTATGGATTTTGAAATTTATATTTAAATCAATTTCAAATTATTTATTATTCTACATTTTGGGACTCTCCTAGTATTGAAATATTATTAATCAAATTTTATTAGCATCTTTCTTCTTATGTAAAATTCAAGTATTAAATTGAATATATCTATAAATAAATTTCTTATTCAATCAAAATAAAAATAGAAAGAACAATTTTAAGTTTTAAATACTTTTTGAACAATTTCATAAGTTTTATTAAGTGATGTTATTAGCCCCACTTTTTATCTTATTAAATCACAATAACTATTTTTTTCTTAATTATAATTTTATCCTTTATGAAAATCACTAAACAAGACATAAAATATGCATAGTAGTTATTTGATTTGATAATAATGTTTGTCTTCTTCATATTCATTTTTGTTTTTAATATTTATACTTGATTATATTTTTAATATAAGCTCATGTTTACAATTATAAAATAGTGATAATTATTTCTATATTTTTAAAGTGTGTAAAGAACTTAGTTATTGTTTTTCTGTAAAATAAAACCAAACATAAGATGAAATCATACAAAACAAATTTTCATTGTTGCAAAAGAGGTTTGCTACCTTCCAAGGATTGGTTAGGTGGTCAAGGAGGTTTATTCAATTCCATGAGTTCATGGGTTCAAACCTTGAAGTCACCTACCATAATAACATTATGACTTACCTGGTCCTTTGGGCGACTCCAATGATTAGTTGAGGTGCCCACAAGCTGGCTCGAACAGCCTGGTTACCAAAACAAAATTATTAAAAATGCTTTTAATGATATTGGCTAAAAATAATGGATAATAAATAAAATGTACAAAATAAATTTGAAAGTGTTGGAGTCCCACATCAACTAGGCACGCTCAAGCCTATTGGTTTATAAGAGGGGGTAATCCTCTCATTCAATAAGACCTTATTGGGCGAGGAGTCAGGCCTACCTCAAATTCTATCATGGTATCAGAGCTAGGCCTAGTTGAGCTAAGTGCTTGACTAGCAGGTGAGGAGTTAGAGTCAACATCTACCTCTATCAACAGGCATGATCCAACATATGAGCTTGACCGTGAAGTCAAGACCAACATGTGAGGAGTTAGAGCCAACATCTACCCCCATCAACAGGCTTGACCGACCGTGAGGGTGGAGTGTTGGAGTGTCACACCGACTAGGTGTGTTGAAGCCTATTGGTTTATAAGAGGGGATAATCCTCTCATTCAACAAGACCTTATTGGATGAGAAGTTAGACCCACCTTAAATTTTATCAGAAATGTGTATTATGTGGGATGAAAATAAAATGTACAACCTTCTGCACAACCACCAAAAATCTCCTCAAAATTAACACAAAGCTTGTCTTAGGTTGGCACAAATCAGTGAATCATATAACACAAACCCATTAATAACCGCAACAGACCTAAATGATTTTACACACTTAAAATAAAACCTTTTTTTTTCTTTAAACATGGTTTACAGTGAGGGTGGGGTATGTGTGGTGATGGTTTTTTTTTTCTTTTTTTCAGATGAAGAGTAGAATGGTAGGGGAAGGAGAGAGAAAAGGGTGGTAAGAAAAAAAGTTATAAGGGTATACAAGACATTGTTCATAAATTTCTGATGAGTCACAATTAGGGTTAGTAAGTGATTGAGTTTAAAACTTTTGGGGGAGCTTGATAAAAATCTAATAATTACCATTAGAGTTTATGTGTGAAGCTTTGAATTTTCAGTTTTTGAAATTTTAAGAAGAGTTTTTGATATTAGATTAAGAAAAACAAAACTCTTTTAACCATATGATAAACTCAATCAAAAGGACACATAAAACATCATATACACTTAGCCTCTAGATTGCCAATAATCCCTGCTTGATCTATTTGTTCATCAAATCTCCGGGAAACCTATTAAGGCATTAGAAATAATGTAAATGCAATAATGATGATAATAATAATAACAATAAAGCTACGAACACCAGGGTTTTTGCACCGAAAATGTGTATCGGCCTACGTGTCCCCCTGACTCACACTAACAATCCAGATGCGTGATTAAACAATAAATATTTTTCTAGTGAACGGCCATCCATTAAATATGGATGGCCGTTCACTTACATGGACTCCAATCCATATTATATGGACGGGGGTCCATTTACTACGGACGGGCGTCTCCATTTAAAGGACGCCCGTCCATAAGTAAAATAGAATAATTTTTTTTTTATAAAAATTAGGAATGGATGTTCATCCATTATGGACGGCCGTCTTTTCATTTTGGACGGGCGCCCACAAATAAGGGACGCATGTCCTTAACCAAAATATGAAAATAAAAAATAAAAAAATACTTTAGGGATGACCGTCCCTTACGTTTGGACGGGCATCCGTAAGGAATGGACGCCCGTCTATTATTTTGGTTTTAAAACAAAAGAAAAACTTTGGACAGCCGTCCATATATTGTGGACGGCTGTCCTTTAACTGTGGACGGGCGTCCTAAATGAATGGACGCCTGTCCATTCCTTCAACTTGTAAAAACAAAAGAAAAACTATGAACCAAAGAAGCTATTTTACCATTTCCAGTTCAGCTTGCTTCTTCTTTGTTTTTGATAATTTAACCTCCTTTAGAAGCATTTGCTTCTCATTTGTATCCAATTTAGAACCAAAGAAGCTATTTTACCGTTTCCAGTTCTATTTGATCAACATACTGTCCTTGCATGAACTTATCCAGGATTGGTGTATATACAGTGAGTGCGAGAAACCATGCATGCGAAGCTACAAAGTAGTAATTTGGTATCTCAAGCTCATCAGCGATCTCAAAAGATTCAATTCTGAAGAGGTCAAAAATCATCGCAGTTGGGCGAGATTTCAAAGTAGATATTGCTACACGTAAAGCTGATTTGCTTTCACGCATCATGATTGCAAGTATGGTGACGAGCGTGGTATCAGGGCCTACGAGGTGCGAGATATTTGGCGGCGAAATTTTGATAACTTGACAAAGTTTTGAACTCATGGCAGCTTGGATCATCTCTGATTCTGCGGCTGATGTTTGTGATGCAACAACAAAGATTGTTACTTCAAAGTTGTGAAGGGTGACAAGGCGTTTTCCAAGTTCCAGAACAGGGATGAGGTGCCCCAAACCGGGATTTGATATTAGAACTGCATGTGGCTTTGAGATGGAGGTCTCCATGGCTCAAAGTTTAAGGATTCACTGAAGCTGGAGCTAAATTCTTTACCAAGGGAGGATACAATTATTATGGACCTTCAGCTAAATTTGCGTGGTACATATGTAAGAAAATATTAAACAATAAGAGTCAAGTTTTTGTATTATTCAGAGCTAAACATGAAAAAAGTTAAGAAAATACTATTTAAAACGAGTGAATCAAGAAGGTCTCTCAGTTTCCTTCAATATGAAAAGAATCGATGTATATATAAGGAAGACAAAATTGAAGTGAAGAGCACCATCCGTGAGAAAACAAACAGATAGTAAATAATCCAAATGACAAGAAGGCTAACTACCTGTATAAGTCCAGCCAATTGGATCTCATTCGCTTTGACAGAAACTTTCCAACGCCTCTAGCTGATAAGCTTGAAAGAAATTCATCAGCAATAAATAGAGGGAGAGAGGGAGGTTCAGCATATGGAGAAGATCCTTCAGAAGGTGCGGTCGTCCGAAAAAATAGACCAAAAGGAGCCAAAAAGTTGAAGGAATGGATGGGCGTCCATTCATTTAGGACGCCCGTCCATAGTTAAAGGACGGCCGTCCACAATATATGGACAGTCGTCCAAAGTTTTTCTTTTGTTTTAAAACCAAAATAATGGATGGGCGTCCATTCCTTACGGACGCTCGTCCAAACGTAAGGGACGGCTGTCCAAAATTTATGGAAGGCTGTCCCCAAAGTTTTTTTATTTTCATATTTTGGTTAAGGACGGGCGTCCCTTATTTGTGGGCGTCGGTCCAAAATGAAGGGACGGCCGTCCATAACGGATGAACGACCTTCCCTAATTTTTATAAAAAAAATAATTCCATTTTACTTATGGATGTGCGTCCTTTAAATGGGGACGCCCGTTCGTAGTAAATGGACCCCCATCCATATAATATGGACGGGAGTCCATGTAAGTGAACGGCCATCCATATTTGATGGACGGCCATTCACTAGAAAAATATTTATTGTTTAATCACGCGTCTGGATTGCTAGTGTGAGTTAAAGGGACACGTAGGCCAGTACACATTTTCGGTGCAAAAACCCTGGTGTCCGTAGCATCTTCGTAGGTTCTGGGTTCATTGTCTTGGTAGACTACTACGCTGTCATGCTAAGTCATGAGAAAATCATATCTCTCGAGCTCATGACGTACTCTCCCAAACCTATGTAGCTCGTGTGCTACTTGAGGTGATTCACTTTGATCCACAGATTGTAAGTAACCTCTTCACGATGTTCAACCACTTCTTGTGGCACATCTTTCCGTCATTAATCTAATGTATCTTGTGGTCCTAAAACTTAATCAAGTTCTACTTTTCTCCCACTAGTGCCTCTTAGGAGAAATTCTTTCTCTAAGAAGACACCAATACGAGCGACAAAAACTTTTCACTCTTCTGGCTGGTAGAAATAATATCCTTTCGTCTCCTTAGGATACCCAACAAAAATACATTTATTAGATTTCGGGCCCAGTTTGTTCAAATTCATTTTCCTGACATAAGCTTCGCAACTCCACATCTTTAGATAAGACAAGTTGGGCTTTGCCCACTCAACAATTCATACAGAGTCTTGTCCATAAACTTTGATGGCACATAGCTAAGTACTAAGTCGTAGTCTCTAGGGCTAACCCCGGAATGATGTTTCCTCATTTCAGACACATCATTGTGTTGGGGTGTAGACGAAGGGGCGAGTTGTGAAACTATCCCACACTCTTTCAAATATTTAGAAAACCTGGAGCTCAAGTATTCACCTCCTCGATCTGACTAAAGAGTTTTAAAACTCTTGCCCAACATATTTTGTACTTCACTTCTGAATTCTTTGAATTTATCAAAGACTTCAGATTTATGTCTCATAAGGTAGACATAACCATATCTACTGAGGTCATCAGTAAATGTGATGAAATACGAATATCCACCTTTGGCTTTAATTGTTAGTGGACCACATACATCACTATGGATGATGCATAACAATTTAGTAGCCCTTTCACTTTGTCTTGTGAAAGGCGACTTGGTCATCTTGCCTAAAAGGCATGACTTGCACACCTCAAATGACTGAAAATCAAAAGGGTCCAAAACTCCATTCCTTCGAAGTTTTGCAAAGCGGGTCTGATTAACATGACCCAATCTACAATGCTAGAGGTATGTTTAGGTTTGAACTTTAATCACTATGTTTAGCTTTCTTTGTTTCCACACTGAGAATATCTTTATTGTTTAAATCTAGAACATATAATCTATTATATAACCTTGCATTTCCATATAGAATACCTTTCAAACTAAAGGAGAACAATCCATTAGAAATTTCAAAATGATATCCCATATCATCCAAAGCAAAAACAGATATAAGGTTCTTTTTTTTTTTTTTTTTTTTTTTTTGAAATGGAAGGTACAAAATAACAATTATTAAGTTCTAACAGTAAGCTCGTAGGAAATGACAAACAATAAGATCCTACAGCCAATGCAGCCACATGTGCTCCATTTCCAACTCGTAGGTCCACATCTCCCTTGGAGAGCAATCTACTCTACCTTAGTCCCTGCACATCAGCACAAATGTGAGTAGCACATCTTGTGTCAATGACCCAAGATGTTGAAAGGGAGAAGTTAATCTCAATCATGTACATACCTAAAGTCGAAGCGTTTGACTTCTTCTTGCTTGCAAGGAAAGCCTTGTAGTGCATCCTCTAGTAGTCAGGCTTGCCACAATAGAAACAGACTATCTTTCCACCTTTTCCAATGCCACCCATAGACTTAAGAGCATCTTGTCCTTTGGGCTTGGGATAGGCCTTAGCCTTTCCCTTGCCCTTGCCCTTGCCCTTACCCTTTTCTTTATTAGCAGCAACTAGTAAATCAGGCTTGGACTTTTTGAGGTCCTGCTCTATAGTCCTACGCATGTTTAAAAGCTCTGACAGGGGTTTCACCATCATGTTCATATTGAAGTTCACTATGAACAGTGAATAAGAGTCAGGTAGTGACTGTAGAATTAAATCCACTTGTAAGTCTACATCCACACCAAACCCCAAAGTCTCAAGCTTCTCTATGTACCCAATCATCTTGAGCAGATGAGGACCAACTTGGGCTCCCTCGATCACTCGGCTCCTAAACAATGTCATCGACACCTCATACCTTTTATGACGAGCATTTCCTTGAAAAATCTTTTTGAGTTGCAAAATTATAGCACTTGCATCCATATCCTCATGCTGCTTTTGTAGCTCAAGTGTCATTGATGCTAGTATAATGCATTGTACACTATCAGTATCATCAAGGAACCTTTGGTACGTATCCTTTGTTTCCTGAGTGGCATTAGGTTCAGGCTCAAGCTCAGCCAGATAAGGCTTATCAAGGATATACAATTTCTTTTCGGACTTCAGTACAATTTGGAGATTTTGATACCAGTCCGAGAAATTAGATCCATCTAGCCTGTTTTCTTTCTCGATTATAGATCATAAGTTGTTATTGCTCATTTTTAATGAATCTACAATAGCAGAAAAATAAAAGTTATTATCGTGTTTATTGTTATTTAATAAGATCTTTTATTAAATAATTACTTCCACTATTTCCCTCAAGCTAATAGCCTCACTACTAACCTAGGAAAGCCCGTTGCCTTTCCTAGTGGACTGAAATCCCATCTAGCCCATTTCAAATCTCCGCTTTAGTGAACAAGCCAAAATGGGTTAATTAAGTAGGCCAACAAACTTAATTTACACCAATTGATAGCTCCAACTACTAACCTCAAATGCGAAATAAGCCAACAAACTAATCACACAATTCATTGGCCAAAGCCATTGTCCTCAAGTGTGATTCTCAGTATCAATAGAGTGGACACTACATGTCACTATGTATAAACAACAAGGGTACTTCTCCACTATGCATATGATGTACTTATTAACCTTCGCTTTGACGAACAAGCAAAACACACCATTTAAGTCAACCGATCACTATTAAGGAAAACTCCAATGAAATTTAACCTCCCACTAGTAGAAGTGTACCCTTTCCTTTAGCGAACAAGGTTCCGACGAATAGTAGTTTGATTAAACCCATGGTGATGGAAGACTTTTATTGATTTGACTTAATATACTTTATTGAGGGTTTTTATTTTGTGTGTCTCACTAGTTTTATTTTGTTTAGCATGTTATAGTTATAACATACACCCTTAGCGTGCATACTAAGCATAAAATAAACTGTTGGTGCATAGCCTTAACTAAAACCGATTCCCCAAGCCTAGAGGAATCGGTAGGTCAACTTAGGTTTAATTATAACTTCAGATTCTTTAAGTAATTCGCCTTCTCTTTTCTTTGCTTCTTCTTCTCAAACATTACACAAATTTCAAATTAAAATTACATTTCTAATTTTACATATTTGAAAAGAAACCTTGAGTTACATTTGAGGGGAGTGAGATGAGAGAGAAACACATCAGAGGTAATAGAGAAAGGTAGGGCAAGCATGCCCTATTTTAAAATTACATAATCCAAAAATTAAACTAGGTCCAAAGGCTTATGCACCATACAACATGCATATTCACATGCAAGAATAATGCATCAATCAATCAAAATTAAATTCGAAATTTTTTTGGTAAATTATGCGTTACCCCTTAAAGTTTAGAAATATTTTTTAGGTCCAATAACTTTAAAAAATTGCAATCTAACCCATTGGATTCAGGCCTCACTCAATTGGGCCTCTAGAGCATTCCCAACATATATCAAAAAATTTATGGATTTTTCTTTATCACGCAACATGCGAAAAAACCCAAATTTTAGCCCATTGCATCTTTTATGTGGGTTGTCCCCTTTTTCCAGATTTGACATGCATTCGCATGCACATCAGATCAAGGACTTGGCTGAAAAACCAAGTGCCTATCAATGCCAAGTGCTGGTTGGCACTTGGCCAGCACTAGCAAGGCAAAACAAGCTGGACAACAGTAGCGCATAGCAGCCTTGCAAGGCTACCGTCGTGCTGCTAGCAGTAGCACCAACCAAGGTCGCATGCTAGGGCATGCGACC